TGGACGAATAGATCTGTGTGGTCGTATTTTTATGTGCAGTTATGTGGCCTGAGAAACTCATGCATATCACGAGCACTCGCACTGTCAGTTCGGAGATCTTGGTCTTAATGAAATGCGAGAATCACTGAACCTCGGAACAATTGAAGAACGAAAATCTTGATTCAAAGTCCAGTGGTGGAATGATAATGAATTGGCAAGAGATTTCTTTTTCTTATCAGGACGAAGTGAGATAAGACCACAGTGGCCAAATTTTCATTTTTCATTGCTAGTAAAGCTAATGAGATGGTTGATCGCGTCGATATGTAACTGGAGCGATGATGGCGAGTTGATCATCGCTACAAGTTGGCTTCTTTTTTCCATAGCATTTGGAACTGAATTGAGCGTCGATATTACAGCAGTGGATTGATTAGCGCTTCGTTTCGTGCAAGGACTACAAATAGGTGAAGAAATTGCCGAATCCGACAAGTGAATATCAAAGTTAAAAGCCAGAGCTTTTACTTTTTTTAAGACAAAAACACTCGAAAATATTCCGAATGATCATACGTGTCAACAGCAGACAGCTGGAATTTTACCTCTTTGGCTGGCTGCAGGAATTCATGATCAAAATGAATAAACGATTTACAGAAGAACCCTCTGTCGCAAAAGCGCTACTTGCCATAAGTTAAGGGATGAAGATAATTTGCAGTCACTTCAACTTGGTGGCAGTCAGGGCTTCTTCCGAATGAAGATGATGACATGAAACAACGATCCAACGGTAATTGCCGTATTTGGGCCGTCTCATACATAATTGGGACTTGATTTTGCTATCCGGAGATATGTGAAATGGCCTTGCTTTGAGAATAGGAGATGTAGCACTGCGATGTTGCTGTGGAACTGCGACGAGGAAGAGTGCTAAAATTCGATCCAGCTGTCTTTGAATGGATCGTGTGACGCCCCATAATTGAAACATACGTTGGTTTCCTGTTTTAGAAGAAATGTTTGTGGTAGAGCGGTCCACATGTAAGTTTTCCACACTGTTGCCCTTAATAGGCATTTTGCTTCCTGTGTGATTACAGATCTGTGGTAGTTCATTTTTTTGAAGGGAGCATGAGTTGGCAAAAAGACGCGAACGCGATCAGATGGG